GCCCATTTTAAACACCTCACTAAATCTAGCATTGTCATCATCCCCGTAAGTAGATCAATTAGTATAAAGACTTGGAATAACTGATAAATCTTGTTTATAGGTTCATAGTAATGATAATGAACTTAAACATAAGTTATACTTAAAGTACAGTAAACATAACTCACCTTACAAGTGGTTTAGCGAGAAACCGGACTTTGCGCGAACATAACTTCTAAATTGAAAACTCTATTTCTCGAGGATTTCTGGTGCTCCGGAGCTTCGCTACTAACCCTTAAGAAGTTCTAGAATAAGGCCTAGGGGCATTGTAGGGTTTGGGAGAGATGGGAATGAAAAGGTGTGAAGAAAAAAGTGAAATTCGGCTTCTATTTATAGGCTGCCAGGAGCCCAGTACGTTGGGCGTACACAAATTTACGCTGAGCGTACTCAGTACGTTGGGCATACTCAACATTAAGATGGGCATAATGGGGCCAAGTATCACCATCAGATCGCAAGCCTTGGAGAGGAAGGAGTGTGCCAGATCGCGACACGTGTGACACTCTTTAATTCGAAAATTAATTATATTGTAAATCCACAACTTTTGCATACAAGCTCCGTTTTTGACGTTGTATATATCCACACGTAGCTATCGATGAGATCTACAACTTTCATTTAGACTCCGTCGGCTAATTTTGACTTTATTTTTAAAGTTATATTTTAAAAGGCTTAAATTGTTAAAGTTCGTTAAAAATTCATAACTTTGTCATCCGACGTCCGTTTTTGACTGTCTTTATATCGTTGAACTCCTATTAATGAGATATTCAATTCTCTTTAGATTGTTTCGGCTAAAAATAGACCGATCTAAAATTTGATATCTGAGTTATATACTGCTACGCTGAATCTTAGAAAAATCATAACTTCCTCCAACGAAGTCAGATTTAGACGTTCTCTACATGCACGCTCTCGGTTTAACGACTACTACGACTTTTGTTTAGATCACTAAGGCTAAAAAGTAATTTATCAAAAATTTACTTTTTACGATACGTAGAGCTGTGCCGGTTTAATTGCGAAACTTCAACGGGTCATAACTTTATCGCTATAAGTCGGATTGGAGCTTTCCTTATATCTTCGTAATCCTTGTCACGACTACTTCAACTTTCTTCAAAGATATTACGTCTAATTATTATTTTATTTTAGACGAGTATTTTATTCCTATTTTATTATATCGTTATAAGCACATATATTGCACATAATTTACACATAAATCACATAATACTCAAATATTTCTTCCTTCATTGTAACAAATAGGTTACAATTGTTGACCCTAACTATTACATCATCTTATTAATGTTTAGCGAGAAACGTGGGCGTTACACATTTTAATACTAGCATGATGGTTGTTGTTGTAAGAAAACTCAGCCAACAGAAGGTAGGAGTCCCAACTCCCACCAAAATCAATGATGTAGGCTCTCAACATATCCTCGAGCGTCTAAATAGTCCGTTCCCTCTTCCCGTCTGTTTGTGAATGGTAAGCGGTACTGAAATGCAATCGGATACCCAACTCCTCATGAAACCTCTTCCAAAATTTGGAAGTGAAGTGAACATCCCAGCCTGACACAATGGAAGTCGGCACCCCATGGCGAGCCACTACCTCTCGGACATAAATTTTGGCCAATTTCTCGGTAGAAGAGCTCTCACATATGGCTAGAAAGTGAACACTCTTCGTTAAACGACCAAGTATCACCCAAATAACATCAAAATCCCTCGCAGTCTTCGGCAACTTCGTAATGAAATCCATTGTAATCTGCTCCCACTTCCACATTGTTACCTCTAAAGGCTGCAACTTGTCGTGAGGGAACTGATGTTTGGCCTTGACCTTTCGACAGGTCAAGCATCGTTCCACGAACCACGCCACATCCCTCTTCATATATGGCCACAATAGTCATGCCTTAGGCCATGATACATCTTGGTAGCCCCCTGATGAATGGATAATCTCGATTTGTGGGCCTCATCCATCAACGCCTGCTGATCCCCACCAACATAGGGCACCCAAACCTGACGATGTAGTGTCAATAACCCCCTGCTATCAATATCGAAGGCTGAAACCTGACCAACAACCCGCTCACTCTTCCGATTCTCCTCCTTGATAGCCTCCGACTGTGCATCTTTGATCATCTTCAAGATTGGAGTCACCACGGTCATCCTCAAACACACATCCCGAATCGGGGTACTGATTGTCCTCCGACTCAGAGCGTCGACCACCATATTGGCCTTGCCCGGGTGATAAAAAAAATCTCGCAATCATAATCGTTTACTACATCAATCCACCTCCTCTGTCTCATGTTCAAATTAGGTTGATCCATAAGATATCGCAAACTCTTATGGTCCGTGTAGATAGTAAGTACACCGTACCCCACAAAGATAATGACGCCAAATCTTAAGAGCGAAACCACCACCCCCAACTCAAGATCATGAGTGGGATACTTCACCTCATGAGGCTTCAACTGCCTCGAAGCGTATGCAATCACATGCCCTATTTGCATCAAAACATCACCTAATCCCGAGATGAATGAATCACAATAAACCACAAAATCTTCAACTTCCTTAGGGAGGGCAAGTATCAGCGTCTCACAAAGTCTCTGTCGAAGAGTCTTGAACGATGCCTACTGCTCAGGCCCCAGCTAAACACAACATCCTTCCTCGTCAACTTAGTGAGAGGAACTACAATCTTAGAGAAGTCTCGAATGAATATCCAATAACCAATCTCAAGTTTTGGAAATTAGGATCAAACGAGTCAAACTCAATCTTGAGTAGGCTTAGGCTCAGCTCATGCGCAACGTGAGCACGAATGACGAATGATCACACACATAAATATTATGACACCACTTACTTCTAAAGGACCAAAGTTATTCGTTTTATAGTTGTGAGATTTTTTAATTTACATTTTAATGTTTGAAGAAGTTACAAAATGCAAAAGTATTCTTTGTATTTATTCTTATCGATAGTAAAAAGGGTTTTGACATAAAAGCCATTAAGTTTTTCAAGTATTAATGGTTTACCATAAGTCCAAATTCTTGTTCAATATTTTCTGAACTTTGAAAAGTTTTTCTTTCCATATTTCACATTTAGAAAGTTACACTCCTTTTAGCCGGCATACTCCTTATTTAGCATTGAGTTGTCATTTTGTGAAGGTCATGTGGGGTGGTATGGACATGTCCAAATGATGTTACAATAAGCAACAATAAAGAAGTTTGAGTCAGTGACGCTTGATTGTAAGAGGAGGAGGTGGCGACCTAGAAGAAAGTGGGAAGATAATGTAAAGCTAGACATAGAGGAACTTTAGATTTCGAAGGACATCCCCTTGAATAGGAGGTTGTGGAGGCTTAATATAAGTGTGGATGAATAACATAGTCTCATTGTGTTGTTGTTGTTATTATTATTATTATTATTATTATTATTATTATTATTTGTTGTATTTAAGCTCACATTGACTTACTCTTCCCGTTGCTTTAATTTCTTCATTTGTATGTTCAATTTTTTTTACATGCTAGATATCATCTATGTGATGCAATCCCTTTAGTTGGAAGAATGATCGATATTCACACATCTTCTAACCCATTTTAATATGATTCTTTAGGGTCTATTGTTGTTGTTAATGTAGTTGTCATTTTTGGCTGAAATGACATGTTAAATCAATGTGTTTTCTTTCACTTAAAAAATCAAAACAAATATGAAAAGATAGAGGTGGGCGAGATTCAAACTCACCACCTCCCACACATTTAGCCAACGTATCAACACTAAACTTGAGGGACTTTGATATAATTATCGCTAACCTTGTATATATAATGAGCAATATGTTGGGAGATTTTAAATAAACGTATTATTGTTGTTGTTATTATTATTAATATTAATACTACTACATAAAATACAATTTCATAAATGTATAAATACCTTTTTAAACGTATAAAGTATGTTTTTAAATATACATATTTACTTTTAAAGATATATGCATGCTTTTAAAGATATTTAAATGTTTTTGAAAACATATTTATACCTTGATATGTGTAAATATATATAGATATGTGTTTTATACTGTATATGTAATTTATCATATAAATATCTATTTTTACAAATATTTTTTATACTATCTTTAATACATATAATGATATAAATACGTTTAAATTTGTTTAATAGAACACGTTGATTATGTATATCATATCAACCCATTAATAAGAAGTTCAAGTTCCGATCACATAAGCGGAGACTTGTTATTTATTTATTTAGTTTTATTTCTATTAAATAGAAAACAATGACATGTTACGTCAACAAAAAGTCAAGGTCATTATCACATAAACAAGCTATATGATTTTTTTTATATAAAATTTAGGCATTAATGGGTGTTCAGGATTGCTTTTTAAAACAACTTTTTGACATGTTGGCCTTGTGAAAAGTCAATAATACACCAATTTTTTTTTTGGCAAACTCAAAAACATTTTTCAAAATAATTTTTTCTATTAGACCGTCTTGAGTATCGGGCACAAAGGTTCGTGGATAGTGGTTGTCTACGTGGCACCCACCACGAAGGCGAACACCACCCAGATGTTCCGTGATGGCTCGTGGTCATGGTCGGATGAATCACAACGCCCAATGATCTTCTTCTCTTTCAGACTTCTTTTCTCTCTTCTTTCTTTCTCTTCTCTCTCCTTCTTCAAGGTGGAAAATACTCGAATGGTTTGTAGTGGTTGACTTTAAAAGCTCTCCACGATCTTAGCTTAAAAAAGAAGATTTCAATTTTCAAAAAACATGTAAACTTGTTTTCTGAGTTTTTTTTTAGCTTTTTAACGACAATACTTTATTATTATTATTATTTTTCAGACCAAAAACTTTTGAACTTATTAATTTATTGGTTTTATCCTTACAAAAGTGAATCCAAATATTTTTCCAAAAAGTCACTTGTCACCCCTATTAATAAACACATTTGCCCAAAAAGAATTTTAAAGTTAAAAAAAACACCCCTCACTAACAAGAAATTAAACGTAAGTCTTAAGATAAATTAGTATAAAAAATTGAACAGTTTAGTCGGAATTAATTTCTAAAAATCAGTCGCGATCATCGATGGGGGTTTCTACTCAGCAGGCAGCAAGCTGTGAGCTGGAACCATGGCGAGACCTCAGAGGGACGATCGTCATGGTAACCGGTGCATCCTCCGGCATAGGATGGGAAATCTGTATCGACTTAGCCAAAGCCGGTTGCAGGATTATTGCTGCCGCCCGCCGAACAGACCGGCTCAAGGCTCTGTGCGATGCAATTAACAATTTGAATATCGCTGGTACTCATCGGAGTCAAGGCAGGGACAACGACGTCCAAGCGGTGGCGGTGGAGCTCGACGTCAGCGCCGACGGTCCTACCATCAAAGCCTCTGTGCTAAAGGCTTGGGATGCTTTTGGCCGTATCGATGCCCTTATCAATAACGCCGGTATCAGAGGTAACTTCGGATTCTTTTCATCCTTTGTCTCTGTGTCAGGTTTATTGTTTATGTGAGGCCCTCTGTGGTAGTTGTTTCACGCAGAGTAATTGGCCTAACATCAACTGTATCAAAGTGATGATTAACAAATTAGGATATCCTTCCGCTTAATAACTAGTCTTTTTCATGTTTTTTACACTGAAGATTAATAAATTTGGTGTTAAATTGAATGATTTCTTTCAAATTATTACAATGGATGTGAGCCTCATAACCCTATTGCCTAAGGTTATATAAACCAAAACCCTTTCCCAAACTGTAGGAGCTTGCTTAGCAGCATCAACCTATTATGTTACCTGAAAGTAGCCATCACATTTCTCCATAAATTATAGAAATGCATCAATTTTTAGGCTATCCTGTTAGTTGGTATCAAATACACAGTAGCCATTGCATTTCTCTATACGATTTTAAAAATACATCAATCTTGAGGTTAAAATGTGGAGAATTTGATCTAGAAAGTAAAAATTTATGTCTTTTTGTTGAACAAGAGAAAACTATAACTTCAAGCACAATTTCATCATCATCATTTGCAGTACATATTACATTTTTATCAAGATTGGTTCTTTTCATTTTATTTATTGTTTTTTCCATTTAGGTCCTGTAAGAAATCCCTTAAACTTGTCAGAAGAAGAGTGGGATACAACTTTTAGAACAAATTTAACAGGATCTTGGTTGGTGTCAAAGTATGTTGGTCTACAAATGGTTGCTAATAATCAAGGAGGATCCATAATCAACATCTCTTCTACTGCTGGTCTTACACGTGGTCATCTACCTGGTGGTCTTGCATATGCTTCTTCCAAATCTGCCCTTAACACCATGACAAAGGTAACACAAATCCTTCTCTAAACCAACTCCTATCAAATGTTAACAAGTACTTACTTGAATCTTGATACAGGTAATGGCAATGGAATTGGGAAGCCACAAAATAAGGGTAAACTCCATATCTCCAGGGATTTTCAAATCAGAGATTACAGAGCAACTTCTGCAAAAGAAATGGCTCAAAAATGTGGTTTCAAAAACAATGCCATTGAGAGAATTGGGCGTTACTGACCCAGGTTTGACTTCCTTGGTCAAGTATTTAATTCATGCTTCCTCAGATTATGTCACAGGTAACGTATTCATTGTTGATTCAGGATATACCTTACCAGGTTTACCTATTTATTCATCACTTTAAACATATATATATTATAAGATATTACTTTTCATAATTTAGTCTACTCTAATCAAAATCTATTTCAAAAGAACATGTAATTATTTTAAATGAACGCATATTTATTATTGTATCCTACTTTCGTTTTCTATGTTATGGCATTGTACCTTGAAAATCATTTGTAGTAAAACATGAACATGTATATGTACACTACAACAACAATACCCCCTTGGTCCTACAGGTCGAGCTAAAACCATATATTGAATTTTTTTTCTTGCTTTCTTGCCACCATTTTAAAATATCATAGTTTGCAAAATTTTTGATAGTTATATACAAGCGTAGCCGGTTGCTTTATATAATTGTTTACAATAATGTTCAAAGTTTCATATATTTCTCTTTATTTTAATTTCATTTTTACTCCAAAGTTGACGGGTTGTAGTTATACTTTCGGTCACATTGTTAATTTTTATAAATGCATTTGATGCCAAAGAAATCATAAAATTGGTGGAGATATAAAACAAGGTTTTTTTGTATGACTAGTTTCACACTAGTTGTGTATACTATACGAATTCATTAAAAAAGTTAAATATATACACACTTAGGAAGTTTGAATTTATAAGGAAAATGAAAAATATATTGAATTTTTGAAGTTTGAATTATATTTATACAAATAATTTAAATAAATAAACAAATTAAAGAATTGAGATTCAAGTTAGGAATTTTGAAATAAAAAGGAAAGTTGCATTAATAATATTAATATCTTATTATTATTATATTTATTACAATTATTACATTTAAATACTGTGTGGAATTTAATAAAATGGAAAGAAAAAACATAAAATAACATGTGGAAAAAATTTAATTTAAAATAAGCATAAAATTACATATGACAAAATGAATGAGAGTATACCATGTGACAATTTTTATTTATTTATTAAAGTAGATATTAGTTGGGGATTATGACATTATATTTGACTGTCACTACCAATTTGTGTTTGAGTGGTATATATATATATATATATATATATATATATATATATATATATATATATATATATATTATTTCAAAGTAAACTACATTAATGTAGTGACATCAACTTTTTCTGTTTCAAAAAAAGGTAAACTACATTGTTATTAATGAAAGGGAAAATGTCATCGTAACCCCACAATCTCACATATTTTGGTTTAAAACGTACATATTGTTTTTTTTTGGCTTTCTAAGGGTATAAATTAACATTTCACCAACTAATTAGGAATTTTGACCCAATTTAACCGGTTTCCTTGCCTAGTCACCACCTAAAGTGGTTATAGAGTTAACTCACCCAACTCGGATGACACGTCAGCGACTTAACCATGAGTTGGCTTGCTTGGGCCCTAAGGGTTCAAGTGGTCCCATAGTATATAATAGAAGGATCTTCCGGACAAAACCCTAAAATATCATTACCATTTCCGGCCAAACACTAGCCGACAACCACTCAACAATACTCCATTTTTCCACTCCACTGTCTTCCATGGATCCTACCCCACCACCATCATCGAATACTATAAACTCCAAAAACTCCATAAGCTCAACAGACGGGCTTAACTTGAACGATTTGCACATGATCTTCTGTGACTGTGGTGAAAAGATAATTGAGCAACAAGGTCAGGTCGAGCGTATGAAGGGGGAGATAGGTCGCGATTACCTTCATTCCAGGGTGGATGTCCTCAACATGCAGCAAATGTTCGACCATGTTGAGCAGAAGATTAAAGCAATTACTCTGTTGCTTGTGGGTGTTGTCGTTGTCATGTTCCTGTTCATGATTTTCATGATTAAATTGATAATTAGCAAGTGAATCACATGAACATGAGTTGTGGTGGTATGCTAATCTAATGGTTGTTGCAATGGTGTTCCTGGTTATATATGTTATTATGCTAATGTGTGTTTAGGTAGTGTTAATGGTAATCCTACACATTTAGGTAGTGGTAATGGTACTCAGTGGTGGTTGTAATGGGAATGTTTGGATGTACCTATAACAAGCATTTTGTTATGATATTGGTATAAATGTTAATCAAAATACATACATATAAAATCTTGCATGTTTGGCTTATAATTTCTTGTGTTCATTGGTGTTGTTGTTTTAGGGTAACAAATCTACAATTTAACAGTGTTACTTGGACTTTTGGTGAATCCATGAACACGATAAACACAAAATAAGATTATGGATCTGTTGTTGTATGGTAAATCTGAATCTTTTGATGTACTTTGTTTGCCTTAGTTAGTGGTAATTAAATGTGTTTGGTGCACCAACTATGACTGACGTTAGTGAGCCCAAATAAAGGGTTATTTTCGTCATTTCCTGTTTAAAAGTATTTTACATCCTTACTCGACAGTAAATTGGACATATATCCCTCTCTTTTGCTCTGTGCTTGTTTGTCTTTGGAATTAAGGATCCCTTGGAATTAACGAAGCGAAAATGGTGAAATGCTTGTGTGGATGTGTCACCATAATAAGAATGTCTTCCACTCTGTCCAACACTGGAAGACCCTTCTATGCTTTTCCTAATAAGGTGTGTGTTACTTTCTTTATTTGTCCACTATAGCCCTAATTCATTACTTTCATCATTTATCAGTTTCTCACTCGCAAATTCTTTTTGTTAGGGACCTCGTAATGGATTTATTTGTTGGGTAGAAGAAGCAAACAGTAAGAATATGAGTGTTGAAGCAGTGATGATTGCAAGTTTGGTTACGTCAAAAAAGAAGCTTGAGTCTACGATTTGGAAGCTAAAGATGTGTTTAGTTGTTAGTTGGGTTGTTTTCTTTGGCATAATTGTTTACAAGTTGTAATGGTTTGCTGATGTTAGTTTGCTTGTAATGGAAAGTACTCGATTGTCCATCTAACTTTCTTTTACTTTAATAAAAAAACAATGGTTATGTTAGATTGATACTTTATTTGTTGTTAGTGACATTGGAAATAGCTTGAACTTAGACAAATGGGACCATGATCAGTTAAACTAATGTGTAAAATGGACCCCAATACCATGCACGTCCATAACTAACATAAAATCATAACCACATTCAAACCATTAACATTACAAATGGTTGTATACCAACCATATGTAGTACATAACACCAAACATCCAAACTTAGTTCGAAACATCACAATTTGATCCTAACATAACAAGTATATAAAGAAAGACAATCAAAGTTAATTCCTAGTCAAGTTCCATTGGCTTCTCACCAGTGTTGCCTTCCCCATTCTTACCCTCAACCTTTGTAGCTAGTTTTTTCTTGATAGTTCTTTCAGACTTCTTTCTTTCCTTGATAGTTCCCTCCTTACCCTTGACTCCTTCCCCACCTTTACCATCCGTTCCCTTCTTACCGTTGGTTCCTTCCACATCTTTACCATTTGTTCTCTTCTTACCACTGGTTCCTTCACCATCTTTACCATCCGTTCTATTCCTTTTATTTACCTTGAGTTTTGTTGGCTTTTGAGCTTGAGAACATGTAACCTTGTTATGTCCTACTTGCTTGCATACACCACACATAATTCTTTTCCCAACCTCTGACACATTGTGTCTTGCACCCCTTTCACTTGCATCATTTCTTCTATTCACTTTAGGTCTACCTTGCATTGTTCTCTTTAGTGGTGGCAAATGTGCTATGAAGTCAGTAGATGGCCATATATTGCTACCATTCATCCCACACATTGGATACTTGTAATTGTTCCTGTAAAATGCTCCATAGTATATTGGATCCACATAACTCCCAACATTTGTACTTAGGTATCAGATAGTTGCAACTGAATGCACACATCCATACCCATTTAGATCAACAACATAGGACTCTGCCAAATTTCTTGTTTCAAACTGGTTTAAACCAGTTGGTAAAATCTGTCAATACCTGTTTAAATTGTATTGAAGTTAGTATATAGTAATAGTAATCAATTAAAAATAAAAATAAAAACGTAATACCTTAGATCTCTTTTCAACTGAATCAGTAGAGTTGTAATAGCTGGACATAGTTTATAATCAGACCATGAACTACCTCTGATGGTTAGATTGAATTGCCTCTTCATAACATACAATCTAATTTCTTCTAACATTGTGATTATTCATTTTTTTTCTTGCATCTCTAATGAATTTGTTAAAGCTCTCATATAATCTATTTTCAACTGCATCACACATCCTGCCCTCTTGAAAGAAAGCTCTACACCATGATTTTGGGTTCTTTTCCATAAGGTACTAAAATGTTGCATGATTAAGCAATTGGATTTCCTTCATGGCTGCATTGAATAAAGGCTCAGTGGATGCCTTGCATGCATTCCAAAACATCATTTCATAATGTACACCACTGAATCTTTTCTTGAAGTTTGCAACAATATTCCTTGCACACTGTCTGTGTTCAGCAGTAGGCAATATCTCTTTCACAGCCTCCAACGACCCCTACACAATTTAAGGCCATCTGTTAAAATAATACAAATTCAGTAAGAAATTACATGAAGTTGAATAGTGACATACCTTATGTTGATATGACATCAGGGTAAAACCAAAATCATTTGCCATTTCTAGGTCATCTTTAAGATTCTCCAAAACTCATTTCCATTTTTTTTTTGTTTTCCACACAAACAAATGCCCATGCAATTGGGAAAATATGATTGTTAGCATCCCTTCCTACGACATATATCAACTCTCCACTACATAATCTCTTTAAGAAACAACCATCCATGTTTATTACTCTTCTACAACTGCCTCTCCAACCTTGCTTCAGCCCCTCAAACCATATATAAAACTTAGTAAAATATGTCTTCCCATTAGGCATACTATTGACATCCATTTTGACTGTTGATCCTGGGTTTGATCTCCTTATCTCCTCAACATATGACCAAAGCTTTGCATAGTGCTCAACTAGTGTGCCTTCAATTAGTTCAATTGCATATTTCTTTGCTCTCCTACACTGTCCCATAATCACATCAATTCCAAAATTTTGTTTAACTTCTTCCTTAAGTAGCCTAACACTCATTTTTTGTTTTTGTAAGAATTGTGTTGTAAAATAGTTGTCAATCCATGCATGGTTAACAATTGACCTCATTTTGAAATTTCTTGCACAATTATGCTCATCTATAAGAGACTTAATCTGGAAATAATTTTCTTCACTCATCTATGAAACCCACAGTCTAAACTTGCACTGCTTTGAACAACATTTAACTAAAAGTCTCTTACTGTCATTTTTTATAGCACAATTGATAACCTTTAACAACAACATAATTACACAACATATGTTTTAACTGTTTAGGACTTTCAAATCTCATATCTAATACATGCTTTTGCTTTTTCCAATGGACATTTTCATTAAAAGTAGTTACCTCCTCAAGTATTGGCTCGTTGTCATCCATCTAAACATATGGATCCTCATGAGGTGGACTGTCTGGGGTTGGCTGCATCTTGGGGCAGAGCTTGTTAAAAATTGCATCATTCAATGTCTTGTTCAGTAGAATGCAATGAACATTTGCAATGTTATCGTCCAAATTACCTTTCATTTCATCTAGGTCAACGTCAACTTCTCTCTCAGCATGCAACTATTCTATAACTTCACCTACACTAGAAAACTTGTCCTCAGGGGTGCATACTTCAGCTTGCTCAACAAGAATCCATTGATGTACATTGACTCAAAGATGATCCATGTACATAGAAATTACACAACCACAAGCATACCCTACTTCGATCAACTCCTGGTAGTCTTTTTCAGTTGCTATTATCTTCAATCCATCAGGGAACTCAATATTGGGCATGCAAAAGTACACATTCATGCATGTCTCGTTTGCGAATCTTTGAAGGAATAACACAAATTCGTTCTTGTCCATTCCGGTAAAATCGACATCCTCAAACCCCTGCTCCGCTCCATCTGAGTAACTGATCACTGGGTACCTCATAAACATACCAACAAATTAAAGATCGATCTTGATGTAAACGGCCATAGCAAGGCCTAATTAAAGCCATGGAGCCTATCACTTGTTTTCCTAATAAAGTTGGTGTTCAAAAATAAAAATAAAATTAAAGCAATGAAATTTAACTTTGAGCCTACACAAATTGCAATATAATGCAAACCATGCATGTGGACATGGGCAACCATCTTCAAGGTAGGGTCATTATAAGAGTTGAAGTTTATGAAAATAACACCTCACCAACTCATTTTGAATGCATGTTTTTTTCAAAGTCATTGTACAATTAACGTACTAAGTCACCAAATTGATCGTTGAATTTATTAATGCATGTCATTAAATGAAAATAGAACAATTTAAATGTTTATAGGTCCACCAAACTAGTTATTTACTTGTAAATTATATCAAGAAAACATAGGTGAAATTAAAGAGTAGTTTAGGAGTAAAGTAGATTTGCCGTTAAAAAAAAAAAAAAAAAAAAAAAAAAAAAAAAAAGTCAATAAAGCCATATTCTATAACAATTTCTAATTCACACCCACTAATCTTACTTTTAAATCCACACCTTTTGTCCACCACACTGGACCATGGAGGGACACATTTTCAATAGTATAAGAGGGCTACAAACTTGAATAAAAAAATATATATATTTGAACAAACAACAAAAACAAATGATTATAAAAGCAAGTAATTAATTAAACTGTATATAAATTATAGTTAAAAGTTTCAACGATAATATCACAAATAAAATACGCTGAGATTTCTAATTTTGTCAACCAGTTTGAACTCCTCCATGTCATGCTCATCATTCACATCCATTTACAGTTAATGACGTTGAGATCTCTGATAAATGAACATAGTTATATGATCGAGACCTCATTTATATCATTTAATATTTCTTGAATAACAGTTAATTTGGGCATTTGGCATTGATTTCCGTGTTCAAGTTTTCATTTGTTTAACCGTTTCAAAATCATATTTTCTAGGCTTATCAAAAACATCTCCTCTTTCTTTGTTTACTTTCAGATTTTTCCCTAATGTTTTCCAATAAAAAAGGTTGAGTTACAATAACATATCTTCTTTAATGTTGCAACATGCATTCATTTATAGGTCCTGTACGAGGTGCATTGGATTTGTCAGAAGAAGATTGGGAAAAAGCCTTTAAAACAAATGTAACAGGATCATGGTTGGTGTCTAAGTATGTTTGTCGTCATATGATTGCTCTTAATCAAGGAGGATCCATAATCAACATGTCTTCTTGTGCTGGTCTTAATCGTACTCATGAAAAGGGAGCAGTTGCATATATTTCTTCAAAAGCAGAGTTCAATACCATGACCAAAGTGATGGCAATGGAACTTGGAAAACACAAAATAAGGGTAAACTCAATATGTACTGGGATATTTAAATCTGAGATTACGGAGGAACTCTTGCAAAAGAAATGGCTCAAGAATGTGACTTCAAAAATTATGCCATTGGGAGATTTTGGCACTACGGACCCACCTTGACATCGATGGTTAGGTACCTAGTTCATGGCTCGCCAGACTATGTGACTGGTAACATTTTCATCATTGAAGCTGGATACACCTTATCAACTGTACCACTTTATTCATCTCTTTGAACTTACTCTTGTTGTAAGAACTTTATGTTATGTTTGCAATCAGAATAAAGATGACATGTGTGCAAATTGATATACAAAATCTTGTTAGCTTAATTGCTAGGACTTTTGAAAGTAGGTATGTATTAAAGGCTTAAAGAAAAAAAAGGATTTTAAATCTCAGGTATATTTTTTTACCATAATTTATCATTCTTTTGCAAGTTTTAGATCTAAACATATTCAAGATGTTTGTCTTCTTAATTTTATAATATGGTTGTTTTCATTTCTGGATGTAATAAAGTTAGATATGGTTTATACTAGTTATATATTATTTTTATATTTATGCAAATGTTAATGTAGCCCATAGAAGTGTTGGTTTTGGTTTTAAATTGTCCCTAAACTTTTTTTAGCTTTCTAAGGGAATCAAGTCCTTTTACCTGTATTTTTAGTTCGTTAAACTATTGTTGGAAGTAACATGGCTTTCTATCCATGCCCTTATATGTAGAAATCCCAGAACATGCTTACCATAAATCGGCAAAAACCTGCTTGCCATAAGTCCATAAAATCCGACAAGGCCTTCCCATCATATTGGTCTTTTAGCGGTAACACCTCTAATGATCATGATCACCAAAACCTTGATATTACTTGTTTCCAAACCCAACTTTCAGTTCTCGCTTTTGAAAGACGAGATCAATGTAGAACTGATACATATGAAAACATAGTTGAAGGGGGAGTTGGGCTCCTTGAACATGGACCTGGACGATTTGAGGGATGCTCGTATATATGGACATTACATCAGAGCTCAATACCATGATGAATAAGGTGCTTACTGTGTGCATATTTGTTGCTTAATTGTGTCTCACTTGTAGGAGTTGCTTTTGGCAGCTACCTGCTCTTCTAGTGATGAGGTTGGGTATGTATATATTAGCACTGTATATGTGCTTATTGTGCTTGCAATGTTCTATGTTCAAGCCATTTTAATGTAATGTATATGTGTATGGGGTTAGGAAGTCAACTGAAGAAAACCATATCTTTTGTAAAAGCTCATCTTTTGTAACTACCTCTCAATCATATCAATTGTAAAGTAGTAGTTGTCTAAGATCTTGTATTTTGGATTTTATGTAATGTTTTTAATTTCTATATCATGCATGAGTTTTGGTCTTGAATAAGAAGGGTCCACCTGATGCAACCATATGTGTGGGTTTTTGTCTATAGCTTATAAGGCTACTCGGAGAGGAGAGTGTTACCGTTTTTCGAGGCTAATATGTAAATAAGACAAGGGACCACAATATGGAACTCGATCCTTCCGAAAGAATAAGGTAATGCCATTTTTAATAAGGAGAGAGAAACTGTTGCAAAGCTTTGTTTTAGACAAGGGAGTTTAGAAAGAAAAATGTGACTGATTTGTTGGAGCTACATCTTATGAGGACACAAGAGGTTAAGAGAAACCAAATTTCTTGCTTGTGTATCGCTTGTGAATATGTTCCTTGTGTTTTATTCAAAATTGCATAATATGTCCAAATTTTGAGATCCTTATACATGACAGTGAATGTATCCGCAACAAAACAATCTAAATTTTTTGACTGAACTTGTAATTTTAGGTAAAACATAAGGACCAAATTTGTAACTTACTTTAGTTTTTATTATATAAACACGTTTATTTGCATAATATACAAAAAAAAAGTATTGTTTATTAAAAAGAAAATATCATAATATTTAATCACACAAAAGATTTTTTCAAAAAATAGTCAAAATTCAGAAAATACCATAAAGTCATCCTAAAATCCACTTGGCCAATAATTTCTTTTTGAATTTTTTTCTTTTTAAATTTTCACAGTTCATCGACTTGTAAAAATCTAAGTGGTATTGTGATTTTTTTTTAGATTTTTACAGTCGCCTTTGTGATTGGAAACCCGGATGATAATTGTTATGAAATTCGTATGTAAAAGTTATAAAGTTTTTTTTAATTGGTTTAATAACTTTCATTGAATAACCTATTTTTTGAGTTAAAAATATATGATTTACAACATCCAAATTGAGAGTTTATTATGTCCATGATAATCATTGTTACAAAAAACACAACAAAAAAAATATATTCACTTCAAACAAAGTTTGCATGGGGAAGTTATGAACGATTAAAATTTGTTTTTTTTTAATATATTTTTCACCATAAAATCTATTTTGAAGCTAAAAAATATTCTTCCTGACATCCAAATTTGGATTGTAATATGTCAATGAAAAACCCTCCTTTCAAATACCACGATGAAAAAATCAAACTCAAAATTTTATTTTTATGAAAAAAATCATAAAGGTTCGAACTTGAGCAAAAAATATGATTTTCTTAGGTCACCACCAACAAAAAAAAAAAAAAAAAAAAAAAAAAAAGATAATTTTTGGTATTTTTGAAAATTTTGTCCATATTAAAAAAAACTTAAAATAATTGGCTGTTATTGTCTTTTTCTCTTTATTTAAATGAATAAATTTGTTATAAGATTACAATATAAAGCAATAATTAACAGGTGTAAGAGCCAATGATGTGCAGTGTTAAACCTGCTACAGATGCCATCTATCAGAAACCCTAAATTTCATCTAATTTATTGTATGAAATCAAGATAAAGATGATGACAATCGTCAACTGTTTTCATTCTTATCCTGGGCGGAATATCTGACAAGAATGAGTATATATCGTTGAAGACATGTTAATTACTGCTTTGGTATGCTAGACAGAGCATGGTCTCTCCATTCCCGCTGATCATGAGTATTTTCCGATTGAGGGTTTAGTCTGCCATAAATTAAAGCTTTAACCGAGGTAATCATCCAAACAAAATTTGTAATCTCTCTTATGGGTTTTATCGATGAAGATTGTATATGTATTTTGGTAAAAATTATTATGATTTTAGATGATAATAGGACGCCAATTCTGTTGTGAAAGCTGGACTTCGATGAAAGAAGATGTGGTAGCCTCTAGGTCATGACTATTTGAGTTTCCGAGCTCGATACCCTCCAATTTTGTTCTAATTTGGTGTTTAGTATCCACGGGTCGTAATTGAAATCCATTAATTGAAACCTAAATGCATTGCTAGGTTTCTGGAAATGGAAGAATTGCACCTTGATAGCCTTTGTTTTTGTGGGATCGTGCTCTGTTTTCTACTACATGGCAAAATGACTTGGGCTCTTTCTGTTTAATAGTATGTTGTTGAAATACACTTCTTGTGATCACAAATACTGCAATCAGATTATCGAATTCTGCTTTCCTTCATGATTAATCAATAATGCTTTCTTTTCCTTTGGGAATTCAGGTAAAATTGAAGATAAGTCCTTGTCTTTTCTTCTCATCTTATCGATTCAATGCTATCATCTAAGGTCCTTGGTAGTGTTACATGGAGGAAATCTTTCAATTGCCACAAATATAGTCCTACCTTTTTAAGCACTTTGATGCTAATAGCTTCTGAAAAGCATATGAGCATGAGCACTGGTGTGGATGCTTTTGAAACCAATCACCCTGTAACATCTAAAAGCCAAGTATACGACATTGCAGCTGGAAACTACAGGAAATTAGGGGAATTTGGCTCATCCAAAAGTCAAAGGTAAGTAATTTATTATTCTTGATCACATCTAATCATTAATGAATACTAGTAATTTCCATTAAAAAAAAAAAAATTAAACAGACTAACAAGGATGTCTTTACAACATTGCAGACATCAACCCCCTGTTGTTCGTACTCTAAATCCACATATATGCATGTCAAGTTGTCATTACAGCACCCAATACACAGATAGTATCACAACAAATTCACAACATAAGGTACACAATCAAATCATGATGCTAATATTATCTTATAACCTAAGGGTTGTCCATAAGTTATTTACTTGTTTACATGTAATAAATATTCCAGTTATTAGGAAATATCCCAAAATATGTAAAGATAGTGGAAGTTGGTCCAAGAGATGGATTGCAAAATGAGAAAGATATCGTTCCTACTTCTGTGAAAGTTGAATTGATCAAAATGTTAGTTAATTCAGGATTACAAGTTGTTGAAGCTACTAGTTTTGTCTCACCAAAATGGGTCCCACAGGTAACAAGAAAAGAAGCTTGTATTCATAATATAATGAAAATGTCCATTTCTTGTACAATCAATTACTTTAATGGATGTCAAAACTGCAGTTGGCAGATGCAAAAGATGTAATTGAAGGAATTAAAGGAGTTAGCAATGCTAGATTCCCAGTTCTAACACCAAATCTTAAGGTAAGTTGTAATCCTATACAAATCTTTAATAATAATAATGGCACAAGTTTTGTAAAAAAAACAAAGGTTCTTAATTTATTTCACAATCCTTTAGGGATTAGAGGCTGCTCTTGCAGCTGGAGTAAAGGAAGTTGCTGTGTTTGCTGCAGCTTCTGAGTCATTTTCAAGGTCAAACATCAACTGTAGCATTGATGAAAGCCTTGCACGTTATCGCGATGTTGCTTCTGCTGCAAGAAAACTCTCCATCCCTGTACGCGGGTATTTAACTTTTGTATTTTAAGTTTTTAACTAATCATAGTGCATGTATTCTCCTTACGTATGTGTCTGATACATACATCATACACAATATGTATTAGGCACATACATACACACTTGTATTTATCAGGCACAACGTGCCTGATAAATACAAGTACGTAATGTGCCTGACACATGTCATTATGTGTCAGGCACATTACATACATATATGATGTATCATGTATATTAATACGTGTTCTTGTATTGTATAAGATATATATCATGTGTTGTTGGATGTCCAATGGAAGGAGAAGTGCATCCATCAAAAGTGGCATATGTTGCTGAAGAGCTTGTAAAAATGGGGTGTGATGAAATTTCCCTTGGTGATACCATAGGTGTCGGGACTCCTGGTATATATATATATATATATATATATATATATATATATATATATATATATATATATATATATATATATTTATTATCATTTAGTTATAAGTAAATTTTTGTTTCTATTTAATAATTAATTAATGTGTATACTTTTTTTTTGTGTGTATTGTCAGGTAGTGTTATTCCTATGATTGAGGCTGTTAAAAAAGTTGTGCCTATAGAGAAGCTTGCTGTGCATTTTCATGATACATACGGGCAAGCTCTTTCTAATATTCTTGTATCACTCCAAGTAAGATTATTTCATCTCTCACTGAAACTCCAAAATTTTATAATTTTAAATAGATGTTTTTAATTATCACTATGGAGAAACATAAGTCTAAGGCTTTGTTTCTGTTTTGTTTTTGTTTAAAAAACAGATGGGGATTAGTGTGGTGGATTCATCTGTATCGGGACTTGGAGGTTGTCCATATGCAAAAGGTGCCACGGGTAACGTGGCAACCGAGGATGTTGTATATATGCTTAATGGGCTTGGTGTGAAGACAAATGTGGACCTTAGAAAGCTTATTTTGGCTGGAGATTTTATTAGGAAACATTTGGGGAGACCCTCTGAGTCTAAAGCTGCAACTGCCTTGAAAAAAACCGTGTTTTGTGCATCTAAATTATAAGATACCCCTAATAACATAACGAATTCGAATCACTTTCACAAAATCAATATCATGATCTTTGCATTTACATTTGATTTAATGTTAAATTCAAGAAATCGCAACGCACTTTGATTGATTTGTGTATTGTATCATATCCTAATGTCACTTTTGTATATTACAACGTTGTACTTTAAAGAAAATATCTAGATTATAACAATGTTATTCACATACGAAGCAATATCCATTGCTATAAGTAGATAGGAGTTTTAAATTATAATGAAGTAATTGCTAATTAGGTGGGATTTGTAAGTACAATGCTATAATTGAGTAGATTATTCAAAATGTTGTAATGAAGAGAAATGGAAGTAGGATCCTATGATACACAAGCTAGACTTTACAAGTGTAACATAATGAAGTATAATTGAATGAGAAATTGAACCATACTTGTAATACTTAAATTGTAGAATCTGGAAGTGTGGCGAATTTGTGGGCATTTCCATGTAGTAAAATGATAAGAATGAAGATATCAAAATGCAAAGATGAGTAAGTCTTAACAGGAAAAGGATAGCAAGGAAGCAAATCTCTTCATTCAAATGGATAAACAAAACAATCAGAGAAGGATCATAATGATTCTTCCTGCCCAAGCATATAGCCGAATACAACAAAACAGAAAAGATAAAAGATGGCAATGAGAATGCTCCATTCCTTGCTAAATAGACTTCTTCTCTTTCTCTCTCTTCAGTCCTGCGAGAGGTTAGTGGTCAGACCATTACCCTTGTCCCCTGTGTCTCTTTTGTGTCTCCTCTTGTAAACCTTCCAAGTGTTGGGCTTTTTAGGCTCAAAGTCAGTGGGCTGGATTAGTTCTGGACCAACGTCTTCCTTATCAATACCACCCGCTAGAGAAGCAAGCTTGTCCTCAAGCTTGAATTCAGGGAATTGGCTTTGAATGTGGAAGACATCTTCCCATGTAGCATTTTCAGTGGTGTCTGCATCTCATTGTATCAACCATTGTGGAGTTTTGTGACCAGCCTTTGAGATCTCTCGGATAGCCAAACATCGTTTTGGTGTAGGCATGTGGGTGGGGTCCATCTCGAGACCTTTAGGAAGTGTCGGATCAATCTGGTGGTTCCCTATGGCTCGTTTCAGCAATGAGACATGGAAAACCGGGTGGATTTTGGCCTCAGCAGGAAGATTAAGTTTGTAAGCAACGGGTCCCATCTGGTTTGTGATTTGGAAAGGTCCGTAGAATCGTGCTGCTAATTTTTGATTGATGCGGCGAACTACTGATTGCTGCCTATGAGGACGGAGTTTTAGAAAGACCCATTCTCCCACAGAGAAGGACTCATCACGGCGGTGCTTATCGACAGATTTTTTCATACGCTCTTGGGCCCGGGAGAGATGATACCTGAGTTGTTTAAGCGCCTCGTCCCTATCAACCAGATCGCGTGCTACTGCCTCGCATTGTATCTCGCCCGAAATGAATCGTGTGATTGTGGGAGGGGGCCGGCCATACACAATTTCGAAATGAGTGGTGTTGGTGGAGACGTGATATGCTGTGTTATGCCAATATTCGGCCCAAGGTAGCCAAAAGGACCATGTCTTAGGTTGTTCCGATGCGAAACACCTCAGATAGGTCTCTAAGCTGCAGTTAACGACTTCTGTTTGTCCATCGCTTTCCGGGTGATACGCTGAACTGAAGTTCAACTTGCTTCCCTGTAATAAGAAAATTTCTCGCCAAAACGTGCTTAAAAATAAAGGGTCTCGGTCGCTTAGGACAGTTTTGGGAATGCCATGTAGTCTAATGACCTCTTTTAGAAACACTTCAGCAACAATTTTGGCTGTGAATGGGTGTTTTAATGGTATAAAATGGCAGTACTTTGACAGACGATCGACAACCACAAGTATCACTTCAAAACCTTTAGATTTTGGTAACCCGGTGATAAAATCCAGAGAAATGTCTTCCCAAACTTGTTGTGGGATAGGGAGGGGTTGTAGCAGACCGTTGGGAGAGAGTGTAGATGATTTGTACCTTTGACATGTATCGCAGGAACGAACAAATTGTTTTACGCTTTAGACATTCCAATCCAGTATATTTGGGCTGCTAAACGTCTGTAGGTCCTATAAAATCCGGAGTGACCTCCGGATGGACTTCCGTGGAATTCATCCAATAATTTTGGGATCCAAGGTGAAGTTGCGGGAATGACTAGTCGCCCTTTATAGTAAAGCCGCCCATTGATGACTGAGTAACCGGGTTTGGATCTAGGGTCAGAAACCAAAGACTGAATAATCTTCTGTATGTGCGGGTTTGAATCAGAACCCGTAGAGAGCTGGTCCCCTTCTAGCCATGTCGGAGTAGAGATGAGAGTTTGTAACCCACCCTCCGGAATTCTCGAGAGCGAGTCAGCCGCCCTATTCTCACTTCCTGGTTTGTAAATTATAGAGAATTGGTACCCTAACAGTTTTGCAATCCAGTTCTGCTGATCTGTCGTCGTGATTCTTTGCTCGAGTAGAAATTTTAAACTTTTTTGGTCAGTTGAGACGATGAAAGGTCGCCCAATCAAATACGGTCGCCAGTGTTGGATTGCTAGAACTAAGGCCATTAGTTCCTTGTCATATGCAAATTTGTTCAGATTTTGATCTGAAAGAGCCTTGCTAAAGAACGCGATTGGGCGTTTGGACTGCATCAACACCGCTCCAAGTCCCCTTCCAGAAGCATCACACTCGATTATGAATGGCGAGGAAAAATCTGGAAGTGCAAGTACTGGGGCTGTTACCATGGCATTCTTTAACTTCTCAAATGCTGCTTGTGTTGCATCGTTCCATAAGAAGCCTTCCTTTTTTGTCAATTCTGTCAGCGGTTTGGCGATTTCCCCGTAATCCTTAATGAATTTCTGGTAGTACCCGGTTAATCCTAAGAACCCGCGAACAGCCCTCACTGTCTTCGGAGTTGGCCAATTGAGGACCGAAGTGATCTTAGAAGGGTCCATGGAAACCCCATTCCCATCAATGATATGCCCAAGGTACTCTACAGATTGTGTACCGAATGTGCTCTTCTTATTGTTGATTACCAGCTTGTGTGATCGGAGGAGTAACAACACGTTGGATAGTAGGGTTAAGTGGCTGGTCCATGTATTGCTATAAACCAGAATATCATTGAAGAAAACTAGAACTCCTTTTCTCAGAAATTATCGGAAAACATTATTCATTAAGGCTTGAAAAGTTGCAGGGGCATTGGTTAAACCAAACGGCATTACGAGAAACTCGTAATGTCCGTTATGGGTGCGGAATGTTGTCTTCCCGATGTCATCTTCTCTTACCCTTACTTGATAGAATCCCGACTTGAGATCAATTTTGGAGAAGAACTTGCTGTCATGTAATTCATCTAAGAGCTCTTCTACGGTGGGGATTGGGTATTTATCCAAGATTGTGACTCGGTTTAAGGCTCTGTAGTCGATACAAAGCCGCCATGACATGTCTTTTTTCTTTACCAGGACTACTGGGCTCGAGAATGAGCTGTGACTAGGACAGATGATTCCTTGTTCGAGCATCTCTTGTACTTGATGTTGTATCTCGTCCTTATGGATGTGTGGGTACCTGTATGGACGAACACAAACCGGTCCATGTCCTTCTATTAGATTGATCGCGTGTTCAATTGACCGGGGTGGTGGGAGCCCTTTTGGAGACAAAAACAGATCAGAAAAACTTTTTAGGAGTCGATCAAGCTGGGATTTTTGATCATCACCTAATGGTGTCGGGATTCCTGGAGCATCTTCACTTGAGTCGTCCCCAAAAGAAAGGAGTGATGAAAGACCCTTGTGGTTAGGTGCTACCCCTTGAAGTTTGATTAGGACATTCCCGTCCCAAAATTGGATTCGGCGTTGAGACCAGTTGCATAAGACATCTCCCAATGTTCCTAACCAGGCTATGCCAAGAATCATATCTAGTGAGCCCAAATCGTATACTAGGGCACTAGTGACGAAAGAGAATGAGCCCAACTTGATCGGTATTTCTATACACTGTTCAGACATCCAAACTTTCCGATCGTCCCCCATCTTGATACACACCCTTCGGGAGGGAGTAATGGCCAACCCTAGAGTAGTAGCGAGTTGTTTAGACAAGAAATTGTGGGTTGCCCCACTATCAACCAGGATGAGCACAGGAACCTCGTTAATCTCTCCTGCAAGTTTGATAGTTGATAATTTGGGCATGTCTAACTGAGAGGGGAGTGAAGGTTCCAAGGATAAGTACTCCCCTTGGTTTTCTTCCTCTTCAACAGTAGCTTCAGCATAACAGACTTCTCCGTCGTCATCTACTGTTTCGCCGTCGGCGAGGAGGAGGATCCGTAACCCACCATCAGCGCATTTGTGTTGGGGGGAGTAGCGTTGCCCACATTTGAAACACAAGCCCTTTTTGCGTCTATCTTCCCACTCGGAGGATGTTAAGTGGCGAACGCTGGGTATACGAGATGAGTTACCAAAATTAGGTTTATCGGGTGGTCTGGTATGGGTCGGAGTTGAGGAGCCCGCAATGTAGTTGGGCTTGATAGAGAATTGAGTTAAACTGCGTTGGCTGTTAATTGGGCTCCCATATTTTAAAGAAGGTGGGCTTGAATACGAGTTACCTGAGCGCTGTCGGGGGTTGGGTTTCTCTAGGCGGCCACCCATCGCTGCTTCAACGTTTCTGGCGTACTCCATTGCTTGATCACACGATGACGGGTTCAAGGTTCGTACCCAGTTTCGTATTTCAGTTTTTAGACCTCTCAAGAACCACCTGATCGACTGTTCTTCCGATTGATCGGGAATTAAGGCTGATAGTTCTTCAAAATCTTCAATGTAATCTTCTCCACCTTCCTCTTGGAATAACAACCCAAGAGCTTCATGAGCATTGCGATATTTAGTACCACCAAAACCGATTGATGAGTTTCAATCGGAATTGTTCCCAGGTGGTATTAGGGTGTTGAATAAGAAGGTTTGTAAACCAGTGTAAAGCAGAGCCGTCCATACACATTTGTGAGAGATTAAGCTTCTGATCTGTGGGGGTTTCGTGTACCTGAAAATAGAGCTCTGCCTTGCTGACCCATTCTCGAGCATCTGTACCCTCGAAGGTAGGAAGCTTGACCTTCGGGAGTGAGAAGAGAGATTCGTCGGTCTTCTGGAATCGG